ATAGTGCACGACCCCACGCTCGTAATCAAGCGTGTACCTCACCTCAATATAGCACTACGATGTGCAAATCCAGGGTTTCAAACCCTCAGAGCATCATTTACCATCATTACTCACCTCGAACCGGCTAAATCTCTAGCTCGCAATGCCTTTGCCCCTCGAATCGTCCTCCACGCACATCGAATCTATCCAAAACCAGAACGAGGATGTCAAAATATGCTAAGGGAATGAAGCCCAAGCGAAAACAATCAATAAATGGCACAAATCCCGAAATTACCAAAACCCGACCCCCGGGCCTACGTCTCAAAAATTAGAACTTTTTACATCCATAGATTCCTCATCTCCCCACGAGTTTATGCATATCAAGAATACCAAAATCGGAGTTCAAATGTCCCCTCAAATCCTCATTTTAAGACTTCTTAAGCTCAAGCCCTAATCCCGCATTTTAACCTTTGATTTCCACAATTTCTAGCTCTAATCCATGAAATAATAGCATAGGAACGAGTTTTAGGTCCAAATTCCTTACCTCAATGAAGTTCCCTTGAAATCCCTCTTTCAAATCGCCCAAAAAGCTCCAAGGCCGAAGTAAAAAATGGTGGAATAGCTCAATTTCGTGAAATGAAATAACTTATATGTTCTGCCCAGGCCTTTCCTCATCTGTGGTCCAAAACCCGCTTCTGCGGTACCGCATATGCGGTCTAATCCTCTGCTTCTGCGGAATTAACTTACCGGACCAAATACCGCATCTGCGGCCCACTTGCCGCATCTGTGACCCCGCAGGTGCGGTCCCTCTACCGCATCTGCGACTCTGTAGGTGCTGTTCCTCTACCGCATCTGCGAGCCTCCCTCCGCATCTGCGATTCCGCAGATGCGATCCCATTAGACGCTTCTGCGGTTTCCTGTTCCTCAAGCCTCTTCCGCTTCTGCAGCCAAATCTCCACTTATGCGGCGCCGCACCTGCGGCCCTCAAACCGCAGTTGCGAAAATACCAGAAGCAGCAATATCAACTGCTGCAACAAGAATTCAACCTCTCCGTTAACCATCCGAAATCACCCTGAGGCTCCCGGGACCTCAACCTAAAGCACAAACATAACCCAATACCTTATACAAACTTGTTCCAATCATCAAACACTTCAAACAACATCAAATCAACTAAAACACCTTGAATTCAAGCAAAACTTTCTAAAATCTTCCAAATTACGCTTTCGATCAAAAACCCAACCAAACCATGTGCGAATGACCTGAAATTTTGCACACACATCCCAAATCACACAACAGAACTATTTCAACTCTCGGAATCTTATTCCGATCCCTATATCAAAATCTCGCCTACCAACCGGAATCGCCAAAATATCAACTTCGCCAATTTTAGCCTAAAACTACTCCAAACCTCCAAAACCCATTCCGATCACACTCCTAAGCCATAAATCACCTTCCGAAGCTATCCGAACTATCAGAACTCACATCCGATCCCTCTAACACATAAGTCAACATCCGGTTAACTTTTCCAACTTAAACTCACTCTAAAGAGATTAGGGGTCGTTTGGTAGGGCGTATAAGAATAATGCTAAATAAGGTGCATTAGTAATGCAAGGGTTTGTAATTCATGGGTTAGTAATGCAAGCATTAGTTATACAGAGATTATTTCTTATTCATTGTTTGGTGTGATGTATTAAAAATTAAAATGCATTGCATAATTTTTATGAAATTTAATTGTTTACAAAAATGCCCTCCATATTCTTTAACTTAGGAGATTTTAAGGTTAATTTTGTCTTTAACCATGCTACTTGCATGCATTAATAGCCTTTCTATAGCTAATGCCATGGTTTTCTATGCATTAGCTATACATAGGATAATACCAAATAGAGTGTATAACTAATGCTTGTATTAGTTATACATAGGTTGAAAAAGTGTACCAAACAAAGCATTACTAATACACAAAGTTAATGCATGCATTATTTTCTCTAACACACTCTATCAAACGACCGCTAAGTGTCTCAAACCTTACCAAATCCTTCCCTAGCTGGTTGAGCGGGTGGCGGTGAAGAAACTGGCGCTGAAGCCGACGACTGACCCCTCTGGTGGGACGAACTAGCAACACGACGAGGACACTGCCTCCACATGTGACCCATCTCACCACACTCATAACAACTCCCAGGTGCTGGAGAAGGGGACTGAAGGGAACCCCTCGCACCGGAGTGACTAGCAGATGCACTCGGCATAGAAGAGCCCTGAGCTGATGGAGCACAAGATGAACTCTGAGTTAGAAGGGCACTAAGTGATGACTAGCCCTTCTTAGAACCATGATAACCATGACCCGAAGATACCCCACGATAACCTGGGCGAGCTGACTGAACATGCCTGAATGGACGGCCTTTACCATGCTGAAACTGACCCCTCGAAGGAGCACCACTATAGCTGCCAGATCCTCGAGGCCTCTTGGCCTCCCTCTCCTCTCGCTCCTGGCGATGAACAAACTCAATCTCACAGGCAATATCCATAACCTCCTCGAAAGTAGCACCAGTCACCCTCTCCCTGGTCATGAGAATACGGAGAATACGGAGCTGATAAGTAAGACCATCAACAAACCTCCTGATCCTCTCTCGATCTGTCGGGACCAACCAGATGGCATGACGAGCCAACTCAGAGAACCTCAACTCATACTGCGACACGATCATCTCCCCTGCGACACGATCATCTCTTCTATCAATTATTTTGTTCTGTTATCATTGTATCCAAGACAGACATTGTTCCTTCTTTCAAACGTTCGTATGTAGTAATCATAGGTAGTCCTTCTCAGTCATAAATACTCAGAAGCCCCTCGGGCAATAGTAAATCAGTATTTTTCAGCCCAAACATCATTTAAAATATCATTTAAGTCTTAAAACTGAGGAAACATGGCTGAGTATGAAAATTAATGGAAAAATAACATGACCGAGTTCAAGTATAAAGTCAAAACAGTGAGGAAATATCAATAAAAAGCCCCGAAGGGTTTAAATAGTTGGCACTAAGCCCAAATATGGCATTGAACCCAAGTAATGAGGATAACAAATAGTTTTCATTCAAATGCGCGGTAAAATCATCAATCGGGACGGACTAAGTCACAATCCCCAATAGTGCAATACCCCACACTCGTCATCAAGCGTGTGTCTCACCTCAATATAGTACTACGATGTGCAAATCTGGGGTTTCAAACCCTCAGAGCATTATTTACCATCATTACTCACCTCGAACCGGCTAAATCTCTAGCTCGCAACGCCTTTGCCCGTCGAATCGGCCTCCACGCGCATCGAATCTATCCAAAACCAGAACGAGGACGTCAAAATATACTAAGGGAACGAAGCCCAAGCGAAAACAATCAATAAATGGCATAAATCCCGAAATTACCAAACCCGACCCCCGGGCCCACGTCTCGAAAATTAGAAATTTTTACATCAATAGATTCTTCATCTCCCCACGAGTCTATGCATATCAAGAATAGAAAAATCGGAGTTCAAATGACCCCTCAAATCCTCATTTTAAGACCTCTTAAGCTCAAGCCCTAATCCCCTATTTTAACCTTTGATTTCCACAATTTCTAGCTCTAATCTATGAAAGAATAGCATAGGAAAGAGTTTTAGGTCCAAATTCCCTTACCTCAATGAAGTTCCCTTGAAATCCCTCTTTCAAATCGCCCAAAAAGCTCCAAGGCCGAAGTAAAAAATGGTGGAATAGCTAAATTTTGCGAAATAAAATAACTTATATGTTCAGCCCAGGCCTTTCCGCATCTGTGGTCCAAAACCTGCTTCTGCGGTACCGCATATGCGTTCTAATCCTCCGCTTCTGCGGAATTTACTTACCGGACCAAATACCGCATTTGCGGTCCACCTGCCGCATGTGCGACTCCGCAGGTGCGGTCCCTCTACCGCATCTGCGGTTCCTGACTCTACCTCACCATTCCGCATCTGCGATTCCGCAGATGCGATCCCACTAGCCGCTTCTGCGGTTTCCTGTTCCTCAAGCCTCTTCCGCTTCTGCGGCCAAATCTTCGCTTATGCGGCGCCGCACCTGCGGCCCCCAAACCGCAGGTGCGAAAATACCAGAAGCAGCAATATCAGCTGCTGCAATAAGAATTCAACCTCTACGTTAACCATCCGAAATCACCCCAAGGCCCCCGGGACCTCAACCAAAAGCAAAACATAACCCAATACCTTATACAAATTTGTTCCAATCATCAAACACTTCAAACAACATCAAATCAACTGAAACACCTCGGATTCAAGCCAAACTTTCTAAAATCTTCCAAATTACGCTTTCGATAAAAAATCCAACCAAACCATGTACGAATGACCTGAAATTTTGCACACACACCCCAAATCACACAACGGAACTACTGCAACTCTCGGAATCCCATTCCGACCCCTATATCAAAATCTCGCCTACCAACCGGAATCGCCAAAATATCAACTTTGCCAATTCAAGCCTAAAACTTCTTCAACTCTCCAAAACCCATTCCGATCACACTCCTAAGCCATAAATCATCTCCCGAATCTATCCGAACCATCAGAACTCACATCCGAGCCTTCTAACACATAAGTCAACATCGGTTGACTTTTCCAACTTAAACTCATTCTAAAGACACTAAGTGTCTCAAACCTTACCAAATCCTTCCCGAACTCGATCCGACCAACCCGATACCACATAACACGGATAAATAAAGCATAACGAAGCAGAAATGGGGAAAATGGAGCGGTAACTCATGAGACGACTAGCCGGGCTGTCATAGTTTACTACTCCTATATTTGCTTTTTTGGGTGTAAAGTCTCCAAGTAATCAGCGCTATTAGTGTTCTAAACTTGTTGATTATGGAACTATGTAGTAGATGGTAATTTAATCTATAAGAATGTACGTACTATATAAAGATTTGTGTCTTGCTTTCTTTTTTTTAAGCTTGAAACAGTTCATATTCTTTTATTCTCTTTTTTTCTGCATCTTTAAATTTAGACATCTGGCTGTGGGATCAAACAAGATCTCCTTATATGCAGCAGCTTCCTCGTCTCAGCTTCCATCTCTTCTTCGTAAGGAAGACCACCATAGGAATCCCACATATAGGAGAGATAACGGGGAAGGGAAAAATGTTACTTGTGCTATTTATCTTTAGTTCTTGTCAGATCTTATATAAGAAATCTTCAGTTCTTGTCAGTCAAGGAATCTAGGGATGGGGTTGATAGCTTGATTAGTAATAATGTACTTCATTTCCCTTCGCTTATTGGCTTGCTCGAGAAAATTTCATCTAATTAATTTGGTCCTTGTTTCTCCTCTGACCTCCCCCCACCCTCGTAAACTACTGCTCAACAGAAAAGAAGAAAAGTGAAGAAAAAAAATTAGATGAAGGGTAAACTTTGGTTCGTGGTTTAGACTGCAGGGTTTGGAAAAGGTTCGATGTTGATTGTTATATTTGTTAGCAAAGTGCTTTGGTTCTGGAGATCTTTAGATACTCAAGTGAAGTAAGATATTCCGACTGTATTCTGATATGGAATATTGTAATCTTTTCTGCTTCACCGCATCACAACTTTTCTAGATTGTCGATATAGGACGTACATATGATCTGACTGAATGTTATTGGCTCGGTCTTTTTTGGCCAAACAGGTTTTATGGGCTTGCTTTGACAGACTAGAGCTTGGGTTGTCTTCTTTCAAACGAGTGCTCCTTATTGGTTACTCTGATGGATTTCAAGTCCTGGATGTTGAAGATGCTTCAAATGTTTGTGAACTAGTTTCGAGGCGTGATGATCCAGTAGCTTTTCTACAGATGCAACCCATCCCTGCAAAATCTGATGGTCGTGAAGAATATAAGAAATCACATCCCTTGCTCTTGGTTGTGGCATGTGATGATAGTGCAGATTCAGCTCCAGTTCAAACTGGGAAGGATGGTTTCATTGAGCCTCAGGGAGGAAGCATTATACACTCACCTACAGCTGTACGCTTTTACTCTTTAAGGTCTCACAACTATGTTCATGTTTTGCGATTCCGCTCTACTGTGTTTATGGTTAGATGCAGTCCGAAGGTAGTGGCTGTTGGTCTTGCAGCACAGGTAAACATCTTGTAATATTTATAGTGATGGTTTATGCCTTTATCCATAAATCTGAGAATTTCACTGAAGATTTTGTGCTCTCTTGTATGTTTCATGTGTTGGCAGATCTATTGTTTTGATGCTCTTACCTTAGAGAACAAGTTTAGCGTGCTCACATATCTTGTGCCGCAGTTGGGTGGCCAAGGTGTGACTGGGGTTAACATTGGCTACGGTCCCATGGCTGTAGGACCGAGATGGTTAGCATATGCTTCAAATAATCCGCTGTTGTCAAACACAGGGCGCTTGAGTCCCCAAAGTCTTAGTCCTTCTCCAGGTGTTAGCCCTTCTACATCACCTGGTAATGGAAATCTGGTAGCTAGGTATGCCATGGAATCAAGCAAACATTTAGCTGCTGGATTGATCAATCTTGGAGACATGGGATACAAAACTTTGTCAAAATACTGTCATGAACTTCTTCCTGACGGGAGTAATTCACCAGTGTCAACAAGTTCTAGCTGGAAAGTTGGGAGGGTTCCAGCACATTCACCTGAAACAGATGCCACGGGCATGGTATATTCTACTTAATGCTTGTTTGTATTATCAAGATGCTTATGAAAACTAACTTAATTGAGAAGTTCTGTTGAAAATGAAACCAAGCTTCATAAGGAAAGGGAAGGAAGGGCTTCATGTTTAAAGTTTGTTGACTGTTATATAGCTATTTTTCGCTGTTCTGCTGATTTTGACATTGTGATGGCCATATCTCCCAAAGATTAAATTGTGTACAGTTGAGGACAGGATATCTGCTATTCGTGCATGTTTACAGCTCATCGAAACTTTTCATTTGCTGGTCCTATCTCACACTTTATGATTTCTTTTGTTGCTGGTGCATCAGATATTCCTTCTTTAGCATGATGCCAGGCATAAATATTCAGTGAATTATCTTCATCGTTAGTTTGGCGTTATACTTGAGCTCTTGAACCTGTTGGATCCTCTCTGTAATTGGCAATTAAATTGAATGAAGCATAATAAGTGCAATACTATTCCTACTTTGTTCCCTCCTAACCCCAGAGCTTTGGTTCAATGGTAAAAGTTGTATACGAGAATATGTGGTAAGTACACGTCACGAGGTTGAAACCTAACTGGTGAATAAAGTCTGTAAGTGGAGAAGGGTAAGGGGGCTGGTCATATAGCAAGTTTCTAAGCTGGAATCAACGTTTTTCTCGTTTATTAAGCAAATTATTACTGTCATAAGACAAGTTGAATGTTAAATTTTACTTTTTCGACTATCCAGAATTAAGCTCTATTATCCTAAGTAGCATTCTACAACCCGATATTAGAGGACAACTAGAGCAAAACAAGATCTCTCTCTCTCTCTCTCTGTCTTAAATGAGAGTAGTTTGTCGTCCAGATGTTCCATACTAAGCATTAA